CTCTTTAGGAGGATGATGGGCAGTTTCCTCCTGTGTGATTTACAGCCTCTGAAAACTTGCTGGAGGGTCAGCTGACTTGGTTCTGACTCAGAGGCAATCAATGGCTGAATGAGTGAATTAATTAAATGATCAAAATGTTTGTTGCAAGACTTTTAAGGTGTTCGTTCTCATTTGACACTTCCTGGGAGTTCTGTCTTTTATTCCAGACATACAGAATTGAATCCTATTTTAACAAGATCCCTAGGTGAATTTGGAATTTTTGTTTTGTACTTTATTTTTTTTTTTCTGTTTCTAGCTCGTCCGCATCATTACTCATGAGCTCTTTGGTGATAAATTGTATCTTCACCTCTTTTTATGCTACCATATGCCTTGAACACTGTAATTGAATTTTGATTAGCTTTTCATCTGCTCCTTTTGTGTGTGGGAAAGCACCATCCCTCAGCAGCATTGGTGTGTGCACATGTGTGCATGTGTGTGTGAGTGGAACATGCAGTGTGGCTTCAACCTGAAAATAGATTGAGACTTAAAAGAAAATTATTTGGACTGGTCTTTCGGCTTTATTATCTGCTAGAATCTCTTTGCTTCTCATAATATGCTTGAAAAGTTTTATTTGTACCTCAAGGGCAATGAGCTTGGCCTCCTTTTACAAATATGAATGCAGTGCCCCGGCTTTCCCTTTAAGCAGTCCTGCTCACTGTTGATTTATTTACTTCCTTAGGAAAGGACTATCTGTCTCCCTGGAATTATACCCAGCCTGGTTAAAGGGGAAAGCAGAGCTTTTGTAGTCAGGAAGTTTGATTTGATTCCCAACTCAGGTCTGCGTGTCCCAGGGCACATCTCCCCTTCTATGCCTCTTGACTCTTCATCTGTGCAGTAAGATGGGGGTTAGAGTCAATGATGTGAAATCCCAACACAGTACCTGGCGCAAAGGAGTTACTTGATTTCTTTGACATTATTTTTTGTGATTGGACAGATATTGGCAAAGCAACTTCCACAGGCAAACAAATGACACAGTAGAATGTGTCTCTTCTATAGTTACCATTCCTGTTTCATGTTATTCCCAATAATTTATGTCCTTTGTGCCCTGGATTTTTATGAAATGAGGTTGAGGCTGTAGGAAGAGTTGAATTATTACCTATGAAAAGGAATTTGATTCTAAGAATGTGTGAATATTTTTGAAAGACTTTTTAAATAACTTTGATTATTTAGAATACAGAAAAAGTAACCTAGTAATGATCCAGCCCATGATCTTCACAATTACTTGCAATGTATCAGAGAGCTGGACAATGACAAAGCATAATAGAATTGTTGCTTTTTAGTTGTGATGATGGAGGAGAGTCTTGACCATACCATGGACCGCCAAGAAAACAAATAGGTCTGTCTTGGAGATGGTGAAACCAGGTCTCTCCTTGGAGGCCAGGATTCTGAAGCTCTGTTTCACATAAGTTAAGCACATGACCAGGAGGGACCAATCCTTGGAGAAGGACATCATGCTCAGAAGGATGGAGGGACAGCATAGGAGAGGAAGACCCCTGATGAGATGGATTGATACAGTAACTGGGGCAGTGAGGGTTGGTGTGTCAAAGTCAGTGAGACTGGCTCAGGACAGGGAAGAGTTCAGAGCTGCTGTACATAGGGTCGCTGTGAGTTGCAGGCTACTCATTGGCGCATAACAACAGCAACTGCGATGATCCTCTTATTCTTTTTTTATTATTATTAAATTTTATTAGTTTTAATGAACATTTACAGGGATTTTGGGTTTT